CAAAAAACCCCACCAGAGAATCTGCAAATTCACTGTTCTTGAACCCATCAGAGGGTAGAAATCACAGCGCAACCAATTATTTGCAATTATGGGAAGAACTTCCAAAAAGAGGTGAGACATAAAGACTCCTGGGGAAGGGGTCAATGGTTATCATGCAAGCAGGATCAGAAAAATTCAGTAAAAAATTTTAATGAATTGCTACGAGCCCAGTGTGAGATAGTGTTAACACCTGTGACCCACAGACACAAGGGGAACTCTAAGCCTCTCATAGGCTCCTCTCCATGTACCTCACCAGGTGCTCATGCACAACCAAAAAAGAAAAAACACATACATGACAAATGAAAAACATTTTAAAAGATGGGAAACCAAATCTTAATACAATAACCATTACAATAAATGTAAAAACGCAAAAATCACCGATTAAAAGATAATTTCTGAGATTAGCTTAAAATTAGATTCAACAATTAAATGTAGGCCAGGTGCCCTATAACCACGGTACTCTGGGAGGTCAAGGCAGGAGGACTGCTTGAGGTCAGGAGTTCAAGACCAGCCTGAGCAAGAGCGAGACCCCGTCTCTCATAAAAAACAGAAAACAAATTAGCCGGGCAACTAAAAATATAAAAAATTAGGTGGGCGTAGTGGCACATGCCTGTAGTCCCAGCTACTTGGGAGGCTGAGGTAGGAGGATTGCTTGAGTCCAGGGGTTGGAGGTTGCTGTGAGCTAGGCTGACATCACAGCACGGTAGCCTGGGCAAGAGAGCAAGGCTCTGTCTCAAAAAAAAAAAAACAAAAAACAAAAAAAGGCAAAAACAAGTTTCAAAAGACACATAAAACTGGAACAAGAAGTTTGATGGGAAAGCAGGTAAAAAGATACCAGGCAAACATGAACCAAAAGAAAAATCTGAGCGGTAACGATACTATCATTAAATGATAGTTAAATGAAAGTTAAGTCAAAAAGAAAATGCTGCATTAGAAATGATAAAAGATGTTATACATTAACAAAAATGATCAATAGTAGTACAAGATATATCCATCACAACCATATACTCACATACCAACAGGCCTCAGAATAGATCAAGCAACTACAAGTTGAACATACCCAATCCAAAAATCAGAAATCTGCAATGCTCCAGAATCTGAAACTTTTTGAGCACCAACGTGACACCACAAGTAGAAATTTCCACATACTTTTTATTTTATGCACGAAATTATTAAAAATATTGTATAAAATTATTTTCAGGCTATGTGTATATGGTATATATGAATTTTGTGTTTAGACTGAGTCCCCTCCCCACAATATCTCATTATGTATATGCAAATATTTCAAAATAAAAAAAAAAAAATACAAAATCTGAAACACATGTGGTCCCAAGCATTCCGGAGGAGGGATATTCAACCTGTACTAACAAAACTGGAAAGTGGCCAGGTGCAGTGGCGCATGCCTATAACCCCAGCACTCTGGCAGGCAGAGGCAAGAGGCTCACTTGACGCCCAGAGTTTGAGAACAGCCTGGGCAACACAGTGAGACCCCCATCTCTACAAAAAATTAAAAATTTAGTCTGGCCTAGTGGCACGCACCTATAGTCCCAGCTATTAAGGAGGCTGAGGCAGGAGAATTGCTTAAACCCAGGAGTTCAAGGTTGCAGTGAGCTGTGATTGCATCACTGCACTCCAGCCTGGGCAAAGAGTAAGAACTTGTGTTTAAAAAAAAAAAAACTAGAAAGCAAAAAAACTAAATCAACAACAAATTGATTTTAACAATTATCTCAGAAAATACTATATCAAACACATAAAAATTAAGTAAGTAGATATGGAACATCTTTATTGTTCATTATTAATTTTCTGAATGTAATAAATAAGCTGAAGACACTATATTCAATTCTACCTACAACTGAGGGCATATTCTTTTCAAACATATTAAGATAACGTACAAGTAGCTACATATTAATGCCATAAAGACATGATATATTCCAAATGACCAATATCATACAGATAATATTCTCTGACAATAATGTAGTAAAACTAAAGATGTACAACAAATAGATAACTTAAAATTTTTCAAACATTTGGAAACTGTAAAAACAATATTTGGAATAAAATGATAATGAAAACACTGAATGTAAAAATTTGTGGGATGCAGCTAGACTAATGATTGCAAGAGAGCTTATAAATGTACATAAATTATCAATAAATGTAAAGGTTTAAATACAAATGATCTAACCTTTCAACTGAAGAAGTCTGCAAACAAAGGAAACAAGGACACTGAATGGAAGGCAAGGGAAGCAACAGAAATCAGTAAAACAGACAACTAAAAACAATAGAGATCAACAAAACCAAAATCTAATTGCTTTAAAAAAAAAATCTCTGGGGAAAAAAGCAGGCAAAATACAAACAAAATATAAAATGGAGAAGAGAAATAGCTACACATGCAATAAATAAAATAAATAAATAAATGCTCGCTCTCGCCACTTCTTTTCAACACAGTACTGCAAATCCTAGCCAGAGCAATTAGGGAAGAGAAAGAAATAAAAGGCATCCTAATAGGAAAGGAAGAAGTGAA